TTTCCAAAGTGATGAAGCTTTTGCATCTCATTGTACTAACTTAAATTGCATATCACGGCAGGCATCTCAAAATACATAGTCTTCTGGGGGCTAAGCATATATTAATACATTTTGGTAGAGAGGAATATAGGCCTACTGTCATATAGGTTATGTTATCGGGCATCCTTCTAATTCCCTTGAACAACCAAGATTGAACTTTTGAACTCTTTACAAGTTCTATTATCTAGTCCAGTTAAAGTCCAGGGGAGGAAGCCCCATCATAGTAAAGAGGATACTAATGTGATGTGTGTAGTTAGTTCTTCATAGCCTCTTCATTTTGCTCTCAAAGTGCACGGAATTGATGGATTTTTAACAGAATGTAGAAAAAAATTCTCCCGGGGGGCATGCCCCCGGACCCCCCTAAAGGGGCTGTGTTCCCCTTGGGGCTAAGCCCCCCTTGTTCTTGAAACCTAGTGACGCCCCTGCTGCCATGCATGTTTTTAGAATGTGGGAGGAAACCGGAGTACCAGGAGAAAAACCACACAGGCATGGGGAGAACATGCAAACTCCACACAGGAAGGCTGGAGCCGGAATCGAACCCTGTACCTCTGCACTGTGAGATCGATGCGCTAACCACTAGACACCAGGCTGCCCCACCTATGTTCTGTCATACAAAATTTATTGTTTGGGAGCCTCTCTTTTATTTCACTTCGATTCTCACGCTTGCGCAGAGGAGATCTGCAAGTGGCTTATTACATCAACAAACTCACTCAAAATGTCGTAATTCAAAAATAACCTGTTGAGGAACATGAACAGTAGCAACTCAGTGATACTCCATCATGTCTCAGAATTTTTTTTTAAAAAGAACACCATGCATTACACCCAAAAACATAAATGAACATGACAGCGCAAGAAGAAATTGTTGATAACAAGGTCATGTTATGACCTTAATAATATAGTTTTAAACTTATTCAGGAGTTGAATGTGTTTGATGGGTTTATTTTTCAATAATCTTTCTATGCTTCCAAAATACTTTGCATGATGCGCATATTTTGTTCTGTTGTGTTGATCCCTTGTCGAGGTTAAATATGATCTTTTAAATCAAAATACCTAAATTCAGTCTTTCCTTTTCCCCGCCTCCTCATTTTGAATAGAAAAATCTGTAAAATAATAATTGTTGATAACAACTGAGTAATACTTACTTTATGATACATTTTTCAGTAATATCGCCCACCCCTATGTTGTGGACTATTAAAATAATGAATTCAATATTTGAAAATATATATAAGACGTTTTATTGTCATTGTTGTTGTTTTTACAGTGTCATAAAACAACAACGCCCAAGGAAAATACTTGTATGAATGGCATTTGGGGTGTTTTATGATCAATATTAACATCAACAAATTTCAAGAATTACATTGTTTTGAAAATTGTATTGAATTGAGAATCATATTGCTCCCAAACTTAATCAAATCATACTGAACTCTTCTGCCCAGAAAAATATTTTTTTTTTCAACCTGTGTTTCGAGATGTGTATCAAATCGGCCTTATGCCAGAGAGTAACATCTCTAATATACAGACAAGCCTGTGCCTTTGCAAATCATGTGTCATCAAGTGAATTTACCACAGTTAGACTCTAATTATGCTCTCAGGAACCTCTCAAGGATGATCAGTGGAAACATGATGCGCCTGAGCTAAATTTGGAGCTTGTGGCAAAGGTTGTGAATACTTAGAAAATATGTTGTGGGAGTGATTTGATGAAAACAATGAATTCATTCTATTTTGGAATGAGGCTGTCACAACAAAAGTGGTGGAAAAAAAATGAAGCGCTGTGAATACTTTCCAGATGCGCTGCATCTATGACTTCATCTACAGGAAGATAAAAAAAAGATTGGAGACAATAGAGGTTGGTTCACAATTTACGATCTAGTTCTTCCCAAATGTGTTTGCTAGTGTTTTCAAGTCTGTTTGGGCAAGTCTTGTTGTTACACACCTAACTCATTCAACCTTGCCTTGATGGATCTTGCTTTGTGCACAGACACAATCATGTGGGAAGATAATAGGGCTTTCCTCAAACTGTTCCAACAAAGTTGCAAGCATGGAATTCTGAGTATGAATAAAAGAATGAGACAGGGTCATACAATGGAAAACTTTTAAGTTGTCTTCAAAATGTTGGCTAAGCATCTGTTGTGAAATGACAGAACAGACAAATGAGCTGCCTGTTTTGAAAATGGGCCTGTAAGCAAGTTGCTCAAATTTTGGCCTGACTGGTGCAATGTGTATCTGTATCTGTTTATGTGAAACATGTGACAATGAAATAGGATTATGTCCCACTCCGTCTCAAAAGAGATCTCTTCCAAAACGATTTTCATTCATTTATCAATATTCTTCAAACTCAGGCATTATCAATTTAGTTTTAAAAAAGTAGCAAATTGATTCCAAAAAAACTACAGCACAAAATGGTGGAGGCCAAATGTTAACCCAGACATATTCTGCATTTTCATCCACAACTAACCAAAGTTCCCATGTGTCAGAATTACATGACTGCAAAATGCTTCCAACAAAGTTCACCAAGAAAGAAGAATTACAGAAAATTCCATTAATATTGTCTCTTTTTTTTTTTTTTTTGCTTTACTGAACTCAGCTTCCCTTGGGTGCCTCATATAAATACAGTAAGTCTTCCCATCGACGGACTTCTTTCAAACGGAACTTCCCTCACCCAGAATAAAAACCTGTGCATTAAAATTTCGACTACGATATTACATTAACGATCGATCCATAACAATGGAAGTTCCAGTACTCGGAAGCCATACGGAAGCTCGCAGTGGCGCAAACACAATCAAGTCCCGCTACGGAATAACTCTGTCCGCACCGCTATTTACTCGCATTGGATGCAAAACGGTGAAATGTAAGCGACTCTATTAGCATGAGTTTTACTGGAATAGTGAACGATTTTTTATTTTGGTCATTTACATGAATGTGGAAGAGAGAGTGGAATGCATCCGATGAGCTGCTCAGAGTAAATTGCTTGTGGCTCGACGGGCAGTCGAGTAAACAGACGTTTCCTGGAATGCTTTACCTGTTATCATGCTAAAAACCTTCCGCTAACTGGAGTGCTAATTAGAGAGAAGGCGAGTTCCATTGCGCTAACTATGGGTATCGAGGACTTCGAAGCGTCCTGTGGCTGGCTTTAAAAGTTCATTGCACGACATCAGCTGAGCAACACTGTCTTGTGTGGCGATCGT